TGTTCTCCTTGTCTTAACATTTTTTTTTCTCTTTACAAGCTTCAGTTTGATTTATGATTTCTAGCTTGACATTCAAGGTATTTTTTTTGGCTCCTTTCTTTATCTGTTGACCTCACTGGTCTTTTCCCAGCGGCATTTGCCTTGTGATATTCTATTTTCATATGTCACCACTGCAAAAAAAAATCGTATTCTTCCTCATACAGAAAGCTTTAAAATATTTCAGCATTTTATTAGTGACGTTTGAATGGTTTTCATGCTGTTGACTTAATGTTGAATCCTTGCTACCAAAAGCACAATTGGATAAGCTGTTCTTCATCTAAAAAGATCTTTAAAGACTGTCACTTAAAGTGTATTTACAATGCTGTTGGTTTCTTTGATAACATGCCTTCTCCAGTGCACTTAGAAAGTAAACTGAGGACATGATAGATTATGTATATAAAACACCAATTTGATTCTCCCGTAAGGACACAAAACAAACACCCAAAAAATTCCTACAGAGGAGCATAACATCTCTTTACCTGAAGTACTATTTGCTTTTGTGACATCAATTCAGAGAATGATAATTGACTATGAGAATCCTCCCTGATCTTCCTACACACACACACACACACACAGCCATGGTTAGAATAAACTTCAATATATAAAATAATAATGGACAGACTTGTCTTCAAAATAAAAATAGATATTCTGCCTTTAAGAATTAAGGACCAGGGGCCTCCCTGGTGGTGCAAGGAATTAAGACACAGCCTATGAAGCTATCCGCAGCCACTGCAGCACGAGTTCGATCCCTGGCCAGGGAGCTACCCACATGGTGCAGCAGACCTCTCCTGACTCACTCGCTGCTCCCCTCAGCAGTCTATTTTGGTCATTCTGCCTGTTCTGTTCCCCACTCTGTCTCTGGTGAGTCCTCTCACACCCCACACCTCTGGACTGTACCCCAGTTCTTGTATGCATAAATAATCTTAAAAAAAAAAGAATTAAGGACCATCTGTTGAATCATACATAAGTAGCATAAGGGCATGTTTTAAAAACGGATATTTTCCACAACAAAAATAACTTTAGACTCAGAGAAATATGGTGGGAAGGAAGTAGAAAGTGGGTAGAGGGGTAATGGTGAACAGTACTGGAGCTACCGTGGTGGGTACAGTGTGTTAGTTAAATCAAATTGGGAAGATCTAGTCCCTAAACATATAGTATTATAAGCCAATGGTAAATCAATAAACATGTTACCAAAAAAACTGATGTTTTCTATTGGTGTTGATAATATGATCTCATTTAGACTATGGTACTACATAAAAATATAAATAGCTCCTGAAAGGGTTGGGCAGATTTGTGGATCTTATACTCATAGAGTAGTTGAGACCAAAGTTACTTAGGTACAGACTCATTTTAACTTTTTAAAGTGTATGTCATGGAGACCAGTCCGGTGGAAAGTCCACATAATCTTTCCCCTTCTTGGGCAGAATATCAGGCTGGGAGGAACCTGCTCAGCTCTGGTAGGGTCCAGCTCATCATTTTTAAAACAAAATTGTCATTGATGTGAGAAGTCACCTTACTTGTTATTCATCAGCCAGGATCTTCAAAAGGATGCCAAGATTTCTGTCTGAAATGATAGTGAAGTGATTCATAGTGGGTGTTTCCATGCTGCTGGAGCAGGTTGTACAGGTTCTACTTCCAACACTGCCTTTCTCAAGGTAAAGTGTTGCTTAATTCTATTTTGATTTTATTTAGGCTCAGCATTTTAAATAAGGAAGACATGAAGTGGGTTGATTTAACAAAGCCTAGGAAAAGTTCTAAAATGCTCTGTTGATGTTTACTACTTGGCTTTCCGTTAGGTGAATTGGTGTATTTTTTTTTTTTAATTCCTTTCAAGTTCTTAGAACTAAGAAATTTCACTAATGTGAAATTACACATTAGCTATAATGTGGAGGGAGCAGTAATAGCAATGATCTGTTTCTATTACTCTTCCTCCACTGAACAGGCAAAAATATCACTATTACCCTTTATAGCACCATCATCCATGATTTATTTAGCTATACTTTAAAAATCTTCATCTGAGATTGTCAAAGTTTGGCTATTGAAATATGTTCCTGGTTAGGATGTTTTATTGAAAACTCACGTTCTGCTGTGCAATTGATCTTCATTATGTTTACATCCCTCTGCACGCATCTATCAATTGCCTTTCATGGCATAGTTTCAGCCTGCGAACTCAGCTTAAGAGGAAAAATCAGTTTCTGTTTGTTTGAATTTAATAATTAGATTTGATTAAACAATGGCAATGGCCATACAAAATGGTAGAAAATGAAACTATACTCCATGGTGGTGGGTCATCACTGAAAGTTACATGATCCTTTCTGGTAGTGTAGATTAATTAACAATTTTAGTTTTTCGCAAACTTTAGTTTGGATGTAAGAAATACTGGAAAATGCAGATTCCTGCCATTAATTCTAGAGCCCTGGTTTAGCAGGTCTGGAGGGAGGTACAAGAATCTGTATTTTTAATAAGCACCTCTGGTGATTTTGAGTGTGGACTCTAAGCAACATTTTGAGCTGGTCAGATTAAAGTTTTTTCCAAAGCACCGTCCCTTCTCTTGTGAAAGTTTCCTTACTTGAAGGACAAGGCAAGAGGGAGAAAGAAGATTGACTAAATATCCCATTTTTGGCTTTATTTCTATTTCTAAAATAAAACTTCACTATTTTCCCTTGTCCCTAAAATCTCTCATTGATCTGACAAGAAGAGCCAGAGAATTTGGAGGAAGGCAATAGAAGCTGTGATACAAAATTTGGTCGACTCATATACTGGCTCAGCCCCATCCTGACCAAGGCCACTCAGGGGTAATTTGTGGGAAAACCTAGAGTTTCTGAGACCTATAAAAATGTGTCTTCTCCTTAATAACTTATATGCCCTAGTCATTCAGGAATCTGGAGAAAGATTTGGAGAGAGCATGGAAACTGGAAAAGGGCACTAGGGGTCATAGCTTGGGTTTGTCTGTGGCAGGTTATAAGTGAAGCTCTGCCCACAGAGGGTCACTTAGGAACAATCTTTCGTGATGGTGCCGAACCTTGTGATTAGAATCAATGATAACTTGAGGTATTGGAGAAAAGCTAGGCAAACACGAGGAACTTTCTGTACCGGGAGGGTGGGAGAATTGCGAGCTCCATGACTTCTCACACAAGAATTCTCGTGCTCACAATAACCTTGAAATAAGGCATGTTCAACCCTGGTTATATGTTCACACCAACAGTGGCTCGTAGGTGGCAGAGGCAGCCAGACAAGGTCCAGCTGGCTTCACAGCCCTTGCTCTTTCACTTCTGTCATGTCTTTGTTTGACTTCGAGCAGTCAAATGACCTAGAATTCATTGAGGGTAATTTGTCACAGTACAAGTGAAAGCAGGGTAGATGTCACATGTCTCTCCTTTTAAAATGCAAAAAAGAGTAATAAGTCAAGAGTGTGTGCTCGGCCGTTATGAATGAATGGAGGGATAAATGATATGTGGAATGCCACACAATAGAATATTTTTTGGCTATAAAAAGGACTTGTGTACTGATCATGCTACAACATGGGTGAACCTTGGAAACATATGAAGTGAAAGAAGACAGTCATGAAATGCCCTATAGAGTATGATTCCTTTCAAGTGAAATTTCCAGAATAGGCAAATGTGTAAAGACAGAAAGTAGGTAAATTGTTGCCAGAAGCTAAAGAAAGGGGGGAATGTGGAGTGACTGGTTATAGGTGTGGGGTTTCTGTTTGGGACATAAAAAATTTTGAATGGTAAGTGGTGATGATCTCACATTTGGGGAACACAGTAGAAACCACCGAAGTGTACGCTCAGAATGCATATTTTGGTATGTAAATGATATCTCAAACAGTCTTACTCTGGATTCAGTCAGGCTAGAAATCAAAGTCTGCTTAAACTCCTACAGCTGTGTGATGATGGGCAGACTGTTTGAATTCTCAAAACCATACTATATGATAACATCTTCCCTGAAGAAACGATAATATTAAAAAGCCATTGTGAGGGGTCAGTGAGCTAAGGCACATCGTGTTGTTAGCCTCATGCCTGGCCTGCAGCAGTTCCTAAAGATCAGTTATAACCTCCAGAGAGAGGTGGTGCAATTGTATGGGAAATATAAAAATAAAAAAAATTAAAAATTTAAAAAAATTTAAAATAAATAAATAAAAAGCTAGCGTGGGGTGAGCAGTGGGGGTTTTGGACAGGAATCATTAACCTGTGTCTCATAGCTCCCCCGTTTTCTCCAAGTCTGGAGTCAAATGTCATAGGGCTTATGTAGCTATTTTATAATTAATTTTCTTACATCATTGTTAATTTTTCATGTAGATCTTCAAACCTAGAACTTAATTTCCACCTCACCCTGATTGCTTCAAGGCCAATATCAATAATAAAGTGCTGTGGTACAATAAGTTCTGAATCCTTCAGAAGTTAAAATCTAGGCAAAAATTCAAAAGGTTGTTTGTACCTAACTTGTTATAAAAAAAAAGTCGTATCTGCTTTACAATTAAATTGTTTTATTTTAGACCTCTGCATAGTCCTATGTTTTCAATGATTAGTTTTGCATAGAACCAAACATTAATACAGAATAAAGATCCTCTAAAGGTATTTGAAACATTTCCTAAGGAGATTATAATTTGGATTGCTTAATAGCAAATGTATTTGTTATGGTGGTGGTGTGTTAGAGCTCGAGTGAACCCTCTAAATGTACCTGCTCATATAGCCCATTTATTAAATGAGAAGTAATTCCATGAAGTTTAGCTTTCACTTCAGAGAGGTGAACATTTGCCTAGGAATGGAGAGAGCATTACAACATGGCAGCCTATTGGTCTCCTACCCTTGAAATATGGAGCTACTTAAGTGTTGTTGAAAACTGTCCTTCCATCCAAATATAATTTGAAAGAGGGAGAAAGAAAACTGTTGATACTTTGAGAGTGATTTTTCAGTTTGGCATGTCTGTCTCATTAATTGCTGTTCTTTTGCCTGCAGCGTGGGGAAGGGCAGCCGCCGCCATGCTCTTCTGCGGCTTCATCATCCTGGTCATCTGTTTCATCCTCTCCTTCTTTGCTCTCTGCGGACCCCAGATGCTGGTCTTCCTGAGAGTGATTGGTGGTCTCCTGGCCCTGGCTGGTAAGGCTGTGTCAGCGATTCCTCATCCACACATGCAGTGCACATCAATGTCACAATGTCCACAAGGAAGGTCCCTGACAGTAACACCTCCTGGCCTGTTCTGAGAAAATGCATCACCATGGGCAGAAGTAGCAGAGAGATGAGTTTTAAGACATCTCAGATAGTATTCTTTGCTCCCCTTCCCAGTGAGCAGTATGCATGCTGGGTGGGGTCTTAGGTGACCCCATGTTTAGTCACCTGACACTGATAATGTTCAGTGACACCTCTACCCTGAGGGCCTAGGGCTGTGTCAGTCCTGATGGGGCAGTGTCCCCATCAAAGTAGTCCCAGGGCAGGCCCCATGCTAAGAGGATTAGAAAATCCCTGAACCATTTCACTTGTTGAAGAAGGTTTGAGATCTTAAGCTGGGGTGGGTCCTGGAAGGGTTTTCTGTAGTCAATGTTGGACCCTCGGGAGGGGTCAGGTCTGGAATTGGCTCAGGGCAGCATAGAGTCAATGCCAGGGGCACAGGAAACATAGTCATGCTCAGAGCTGGGACTCAGAGTAAATATGTGCGAACAAGAAAGCATTTTGCTAAGACAAGCAAGCTTGACATACAAGGACAGATATTTGGGCCTCCCTGGTGGCTCAGGGGTTATAGTCTGAGTGCTACCAAGCTATCACCTAGCAGCACAAGTTCACTCCCTGGCCAGGGAGCTAACCCACATGGCACAGCAGACCTCTCCTGTCTTGCCCGTTGCTCCCCTCAGCAGTGTATTTCGGTAGATCTGCCTGTTCTGCTCCCCACTCTGTCTCTGGTGAATCCTCTCACTCCCCTCATCTCTCCCCTACACCTCAGTTCTTATATGCATAAATAAAAATAAATCTTTTTTTAAAAAAAAGGACAGATATTTTATGATTCCATTTATATGTATTACCAGGAGTAGGCAAATTCTTAGAGAAAGAAAGCAGAGTAGAGTTGGAAGGCTGATCTGTTTATCAGGGAGGGGATAATAGATAGCTATGGTTTATGTGGGAGATGTTGAAAAAATTTTAACTATAAGATAGTGGTGATGGTTGCACAATATCACGAATGTATTTAATGCCACTGAATCATACACTTGAGAAATGATTGAACTGATAAGTATATTGTATGTAATTTACAACTTAAAAAAATTTCTAGTTAAACTCTTATCATCTCAATGTTAAAACATTAAGATCTAGTAATGGCCATCTCAAGTTGACAGGGTGCCAGAGTTATTGTACAGAAAACTGGTTCCAGTAAGCTTGAACATATCAGCAGTTTAATGGTCCTGCTTAATCCTCTGTTCTCATTTCACAACTTCATAGTCATCTCCTTTAGACACGTAGAATGGGAACTTTTTATAGAAGAATGAAAGGTCTAAAAATCTTAATGCATTTTTAGTGGTGATCATGTTTAATAAGATCTACCTTGATTCTTAAAATATATTTCACAGCAACAGTGATTTTTAATTATAAATGCAAATGTTGTTGGGTTAAAATAGAAAAATTAAATATTGATACAATTTAGATTTTGCAGAATTTGATCTAAGCCATAAGAATTTCATGTATGATGAAACAAAACACACACTATTTGACATTTATTCCTGGGCAAATTAGAGAACAACATAGAGAAGGACTATTTGTGTGTCTTACATAGGATTTTGCAGTAAATGACAAGCTTAACTAGTAACAGTTTGCCATTCAAAGTATATAAGCAAAGTATATAAGTAGCAGAGAAATATTTAAGATCTCAACAAGATCCCCCTTCATAAATCATCAGAGAAGAGGATCATTGTGGTTGGATTCAGAAATAAAAGCAACAAATCAAGACGTGGAAACATCTACAACTTTTCTAGCAATTGAAAAAAGAAAAAGAAAAAAACTACTTTTGGGTACATCTGTGAAGCTAGTAAAAAAAAATTAAGATGAAAGAAAAAAATGGTAGTGTACTACATTCCTGGGGGCATAACCAGCTGGTTTCTCTTTGCAGAAAGTCATGCTTTAATGTGAAAAGAACTAAAATCTGTTCATACCCTTTGACATGGCAATGTACATATGAAATATTAAATTTTAGAAAATGCAGAACATAGGATAGCATGTATACACTCACTATAGCTTTATAGAATTAGGCATCATCATTGAAAAAGCATAGAGGAACAAAGTTCTGTTTTCAAAGTTGCCTAAAATGTTGAACCAATGATTGGTAATAATTGTAATAATAGGTTTCATACTAAAGAGTAGAAAAATCTGCTTGACCTATGTTTTCCCTCTTACACTTCCCCGAAGCACTGTGATAGTCTTCCTTTTATTTCCTCCCCCCAGGCTGGAATGTTCTTCTCCATACCCTCTACCTCTCCATTTCTATTTAGCCTTCAGATTCCTCTGTAGACTTTTCTAGTGATTCTTCACATGAATCATTCATAACACTAGTTTGTTGTTCACTTAGTCATTTATTGAATGGATATTCCAAATATGTACTATTGACTATCACCTCTGAGTCATATATGTATATCTGCATGTTTATATGCAGATATCTATATTACATCTGCTAACACTAAAATATTGCCTATATATTTGGCATAGGAAATACAAAGGTTAAAAGTCAAACTCTGCTGTCCTTTCTATTGTATACAGTTTCTCACTTTTTACTTTAGTATATGTAATGCTTACACATGTGATTCTCTAGTTGTTTTCTGTCTGTCTGTCTGTCTGTCCTATATTTAGTATTCCACTCAGTAGAACTGTCTTTTACCCACAACAGGCAATAATCTTTGTTGGGTCATGATTAACTGGATTCCTACGATCCCTTTCACTGGTATTGGTCAGTTGGATTTAAGACTTAATTTAAAGCAAAAACTTTGTGGAAGAGGGAGTTAATCTGCTGCTACCATGTATTCATACACTGGGATTTTTTCTTCCCTTTAGCTGTGTTCCAGATCATCTCGCTGGTAATTTACCCAGTGAAGTACACACAGACCTTCAACCTTCATGCCAATGCTCTTGTCACCTACATCTATAACTGGGCCTATGGCTTTGGGTGGGCAGCCACAATTATCCTGATTGGCTGTGCCTTCTTCTTCTGTTGCCTCCCGAACTACGAAGATGACCTCCTGGGCAATGCCAAGCCCAGGTACTTCTATACGTCCGCCTAAGTTCAGGAGTGAGTGGAAGACATCTCTGCTGCCACAATGGATTCCAGAGGAAGAAACTGTTTTCCTATAACATTGAATCTAATTGGGGACCAGTGTTCCTTTAAATAAACTAGTCAGAATGCTAAAATAATTTCGGAAAAAAATATTTCTTAAATGGCATGATAGTTTCATATTCATCTTTTATATGTTTTGTAGAGTTGACTTCTTTTAACTAGTTACCTATGACATACAGTATTGCCTTATATGTATCATACCATTTATACTGCATTTATAAAAGAACAGTAATAGGAAATTTGCCACTTTATAAGGTAAAAATGAGAAAATTTCAAAGATTGAAGTAATCCGATCACATTTGTATCTTTCCCAGGTGGTATGAGCTGGGTCTAATCAGGGTTAAAGAAAAGGAGATACTGATAAAAATAGACAGTGACCAAATATTGTAAGAGAAATACAAAAAATATTTTTTTTTCCAAGCCTTAAGCTGTTTAAGAAAAGTAAAACAGTCTCCTAAGTGTATATCATTTATGAGAACTTCTAATTAATATCTAGACTTTTTGTTAGCCTCACATGAACTTGATAAGTCATCTGGGAAAGTACTCTTTCATGGCCAAAGTCTACGGCAGTAGTAAGGACTCCTTTTGTAGTGAAATGTTAAGATGGAATTTTCTCTTTTAAGTGGTTTATAGGACTGGGTGTGGGAAAATGCTATAATAATAAATATGTACTGTTTTGTGTCCATGTGATCAGGGCCAGTGTAGATTGGATTAAAATGTGTACCAGTTGTAATTTAGCATGGCTCGACAGATATGCTTATATTGTGCAGTAAAGGTAAACAGATTTAACAGAAAAGTGGCTTGAATTGCCAATGCAGGTTTAACTGGGCTCTGATCATAGAGACACAGCTTCCAATAGATTGCAACTGTAAGCAAAAGCTTAGTGTTAAAAACCTGGTCTTCCTTGGTCAACAGATTTAAAATATCTGATGTAAAACATGCAATAGGAGAATTCAGGGATGTGAAATTTCTCTGAATAGCAAATATATATCACATGAATTATTATTTTTGTACCATTTGTACTTTCATAATGAAAACCAATTCATTTTATATCGCAAATTATTATTTTGTTAGTTGAAGAATAAGCAACTGTTTTCATTATGGAATTTTCCCAATAAACCAGGTATTCTAATCTTGTTTCTAGTTTGTAGTTTTTTGGTTTGGCTTTGGTTTTTCAAGTCTGGGGAAGGGAATTTTTTTTTTTTTTAAGTGTTTTGAGTGTGGGAGTAAAAGCTTTGGATAAAATGAAAAGTTGTCTTTTCTTCCATTGTAAAGGTCTTGCTCATTTTACATGTCCAGTAACTTTAAAATGAAATTTAATGGATGATATAGTGGCGTACTCCCTGAACTTCTTCCTCAATGAACAATACCCCCTACACAACCATCCATCCAGTGCTGCCACCAGAGTAAAATGGACTAAGACTTTTGATGGGTCCAGACGCCAGGGACTGTTTGTGTGGTTTATTAGCTGGAGGTTCAATCTACTCTCATCTTTGGTGTGCAGCTTCCTCCTAGTGAAAGGATCTTTTTCATTCAGGAAGTGGGGCAGAAAACAGTCTCCCCCACTCCTTTCCTCCATTTGGTAGTTTGTTTCCACTCTTGGTCATGGGTCAATTTTCTACTGTACGTGTTAAGTGTGAAGGACAGTAGAGTGGCATGGTTGGAGAACAGAGACATGTCTTGGTGTTTCTTTTGGTCATTTGGTTCTTAGTGGGAATTTTTCTTCCATGCTTCCCAAAATATGAGGTCAACAGTTCTCACCATTAATTCAGTCTGGGTGATTATTTATACCCAAATTAAAAAAAAAAAATCTATGACAGGTGGAGGATTTCAAGTGGTAATTAGTAATGTTCAAAAATCATCATCTAAAATAAAAACACAAGTAATTCAACAAGATAATAGATTTCTAGAGATTAAGAAACTAGATCTAAAATATCTAGAGATTCTCTCCTTATACGTGAAAATAATTCTCAGATGCAAGTTTCTCTAAAGCATCTATGCTTTGACTTTGGATTCTATCAACTTTTATCAACTTCTTCCCCTCCTTGATAAGTAACACGATATAGATTAATGATGCACATTTAGGAAAAATACTATATCCAAGGATCGATGAACTGATAGAACAGAGGCATTTCAACCTGAGGCATTTGTGTTAAAGACACACGAAGCATCATCACTTTGGTCAAGATGTTTCACTTCTTCCAGTGTAGAGATTCCACTTGTGGACTCACATTCACCAGACACCTTTATGTCATTAACAGGGCAGGAGATTCCAAGAGCTCTATAGAGCAAAGAAAAATTTGGCTGATCAACTGTCTGAAGACTAACAACACATTGCATGAGCTTTCCCACAGTAAAGCTGAGGTGGTTTTTGGCTCTGTAATTATCTTGAGTCCCCACCCTTTAAATAAGCAGTTGTAGGTTCCCAAACAATTATCTCATGCTCAGACTCTAAGTAGTCAGATATGCTAAGTGCCATGTACTGTTGAATGTAACAAAGAAGTAATATGTTGAGCTCTTTGGGTTGTCACACAAGTTAACTATGGAGTGTAATTACTTCTAGCTTCAAAAACCCTATACTGCAGGGTGACAATAAAATCCCATAGGCTTTCCTTTTTTAAGGAAATGAAAACAATGGAAAAATAGAGTCATCATAACTTAATTAGGTTGATTGTTGCTGTGAACGCCCACTAACAGGCAGCCCTATTAATTAATACAATAAACAGGAATGCTGACTTGTTTTGGTTTTCTAGCATACCTAAAAAAGCACATTTAAGACTCATCCCAAGGTTGGATCCTGCTGATGTGCAGGCTTGAGCAATTCACTGTTCTATTGGTCTCATAGCCTCACCTGTTAATTGATTGCAAATGATCCCTTTTCCTTCAAAATTCTCTGATCCAGTGTATTTGTATGTGTATCTGTTCATCTGTTCATTTACTCTAATATTCTTGGGAAAGGTAAAGGTTGTCAAGTGGTGCTATTTTTTGTTTCTTTATTAAATTGATTTCCATAACTAGAGACAATGATTAAAATCTTAATTTTGTGATGGAATTTTTTTCTTTCATTGAAAAGAGAAAAATATTCCTTTAGTTGGAAGCACCACTAAAGGGGTGCATATAAACTCCATTGTAACCACAAGTATCCCTAAATCTTAAAAGAAAAAACTTCGTATTTTGGGTTCTGATTCAAGATGGTGAAAAGGATTCTACTCAATAATCACTTCTGGCCAATATAGAAAAAACTGCAGAATAGCAAACAAGTACCAGAGGGAATACAGTCGTAACGCAAGAATGATCTACTACAGAGATTTTGTCAAACTTCTGGAAGATGAAAAATGAGTGACATTGTCAAGAGTGCCACCCAAAATAAACTCAAGTTGGCTGTCAGGAAAATAACAGCTGTGCTGCTTGACAAGTGCCAAAGAGATGCCAAATGTAGAGTTGGCAGGAAACAGAGTAGGTATGGAGAAGGAGGAGGGTGTCAATCAGGGGGATTACTCAGAAGTCTGCACCATCAGGAGGTTGCCAGTTGGCCAAATCTCCCCTTCTTCCACCTGAAACTTACAGAGTGGAACAACCACCTAAAGTATTTACCTATAGACAAAACCCAAAGCTGATGATCATACTAAATAGCATGCTTTTCTAAGTGCTTCCCAAGTATTAACCCACATAAACCTCACCTAGATCCTCCGGTGCAGATTTCATTATTCTTAATAATTCAGTGAAGAAATGGAAACATAGGAATGTGAAGTAACTTTCTCTGGGGTCAGACAGGTAGTAGATAATGACAGTAATAATAGAAACAAGACTCAGGGTGTGCTATTGTTTGGTGCAGCAGCAGAGGAGAGTAGGGGTTAGTTCCATGAGATGATCCTAGGCTGTCCTTTCCTCCCAGTATGCTGGTGTGGATCCCTCAACCCCTTCATGTCTGACTCTCCAGGAGAGTTCTCACTTGCTAGTATGTTTGGGGGCTAATGTATAATGGAGTGAAAAACAGAAAAGGAGCAATCAGATGTGTACAGAGTTAAGGCTAGTTGGGTGTGTTTCTTTGAGGAGAGTTGTCAAGAGAGGAGGTAATTAAAGGAAATGAATTGCAAAGAGTAAAAAGGACTAAGAAAATCTACTTTTAGGATGTAACCACTTTCACCGTGTGGGTTCTGAAATGAGTTTTATGTGGGACCACCTTCTTTTGGAACTCTACTCTGTGCCAGGGCCCTGTGAGTCATTACTTCATAACATCCCAGGTATAGGGGCCTCCCTGGTGCCAGATGGGGTTAAAAGCAGCACTGTGAAGCTATGCACAGCCATTGCCACACGAGTTCGATCCCTGGCCATGGAGGTGACCCATATGGTGCAGCAGACCTCTCCTGTCTCACCTGCTGCTCCCCTCAGCAGTGTATTTCAGTGGATCTTCCTGTTCTGTTCCACACAAGTTAATTATTTAGCCCTCCAACTCCACCCCACAAATCTTCAAATAAAATAGAGCGGATAGGAGTGAAGTTGATTACATCCGGGGAAGACCTTGTGACCTTGTTTCCTGAGAAGCAATTGTCTGAATTTCTTCCAATACCTTGAGTGTAGGTAGAAGAGACAAGTAAACATTTTTGATGTCTTCTAATACTTAATTCCCTCCTGAAGCAAGAAAAAAATTAAATGAATACTAACTAAATCTTAACAGGAATTCAAACATTTTTGAAATCTAAATTGCTATGAAGCCGAGAGGATGGAACAAGTACATTTCCTACAATGTTCAGTAAGGCCATGGGCACCAACCACAGAGGCTGCTGTCCGCGCTTTGGTGGGTAGGGACGAAGAATTTCATTTCCAGCTCTCACTTTGGAGCTCCCTCTTCTACTCCTCGCTCCTGCAAGCACTACTTTTTTTTTTTTTTTAAAGATTTATTTATTGATGCATACCAGAGCTGGGGTACAGGCCAGAGGTGCAAGAGGGTGTGGGGGGTGAGAGGACTCATCAATGACAGAGTGGGAAACAGAACAGGCAGACTTACTGAAATACACTGCTGAGGGGAGCAGCAGCGATACAGAAGAGGTCTGTTGTGTTTCTCCCTGGCCGGCTGGGGATGGAACTCGTGCTGCAGAGGCTGTGGATTGCTTCATAGTGAGGTGCTTAACCCCTGGCACCACCAGGGAGGCCTGTAAGCACTACTTTTGTAGTGGAGTTTTAAAAACAGATCTATTGGGGTCAAAAGATGGCTTTATGTTATCTCTGTAGTTTCAGGTTTTAAAATTCCCAAAGACAGGTTTGGGACCCACATCAGTCAATAATCAGGTCGCTTGCTCTTCTGGAGAATTCTGCAGTCAGCTTGGTTTGCCTTGTCACAGCTACAGGACATTGTTCCTGGATTTCAAAATTCTGGTAACTATCTGGGCGTATTTTCTGGGTGAGGCAGAGGTGAGTCTAACACACCGAGCGTGGGAAAAGACAGCTAAACGGGGAATTTAAGAGATTCAGATCCTGTCAAGTTCATGATGCACCATTCTGTGTTTCATTGTTTAAGAATTTACTTTCTTTGCACCATTCTGTGCTTCATTGTAAATTTTAAGAATTTACTTTTTTTCAATCCAGAAATAAAGAAAACCCAGAGAAGTGTGAGTGTTTAAGATCGTTCTCTGGTGAAGACATTCAATTCTGTTGATTAAATAGCATAAGGTTGTCTTAGTGAAAATGAGTCACCAAATAGTCATAATAGGTGGTTGTATAATGGCTGCCCCACCAGTTTTTCCAGTACAAAGACTCCAGGTAATTAACCTGCTATTCTCAACTGTTTTTGAGTAATTTACTTTAAAAGGGAACACTTAAATTTTGAAATGGAAACTCTGAACTTAATCACTAAAAGTAAATTGCAGAGTGAGATTTTGAAAGCAAGTTCCATACCCAAATCCCCTGTTTTTCCCTTGTTAGTGTGCTTTCATTCTGGTTACTCAGTGGCTATTCATCAGTTGAAATGCTTCAGTGAAAATTCATATTTCCAAATACTACTCCACCCATTTTCTAGTCAAGTAATGCTTTGAAACCTAATCCTTTCTTCAAGCAACAACAACAAAAAATTGTAAAGAAAAATTGATTTCAGTGTAGATATAGAAGATGGATGAAGAGAAGTGCCATTTGCCATGAAATTTACCACTGGAATAATATTCTTCATGGAAGATCT